ATTTATCCTATGGAGTCACAGACCAGAATTCTACAAGTTAAGTACTCATAACACCTTACTGAATCTACAGAACTAACCCTCTAAGATCCCCCCACCCTAACCCCATTAGTCAATTTACTATAAACACAATTTACTACATAGCACATACATTTTCAGGATGAATAACAAATAGGTGGTTGTTTTAAAACCTAACACCAAACAAAAAACCTACACCCATACCTTCACATCAATCAAAAACACGCAGTTGCAGATATCCAACAACACGCCGGAGTCACACCGGTACAGGATTCATTCTAATATACTGTAGCACAATCACACAAATCAAGGGCGCCCTACGGAGCAAAAACTATACCCTTCACAACTCTACAACACGTTCAACAACACACTAATATCAGAACTGGGCATAGGTCTCGACGTCACAGTAGACAAAGAAACAAAAACAACAGAAACCACTCCCACACATCCAAACCCAGTTACACCCCCGCAAAATACACAAATCGATAAAACAGTCGTACATTAAGACCATACATCAGTCACCGAAACAAACGAAGTACAAACAAACACCACACCCTCAACAACACAATTGAACTCTTATACAAGTTAACAAACAAGATTTAGGTTTTCCAACTTATTTGATCAGTACGGCAACGCGGTCATACTTGGGACTGAATTTCAGATTCATTTATATTGTACTAATTTTACTCTTGTGCAATTACTCTTGTAATAATTTGATTAACTTTATTGTAGATTTTATTTGCTTGTCTGTATTTTCTGTTTAATTTATATAACTTTCTTTCAGATTTCTAGTGCATATATTAATTTTGTGATATTGTGTATAATAACTGTAATTCATTGAACTTTGTTAAGTTTGTTGTGATTCAGTTTTGAACTCGACGTAATATCTGTACATAGCATTTGAGACATGGCGTATCTTCAAGTTCAAGTCAAATTTGTTATGAACAAGCGTGGAGGTCAAAACTTGGGAGATGCTGTGTCAAAGACTGCCCGTCCACCCTGAACACTCTGGACAACATCCAAGTTAAATTTGGAAGAGAACACAATCACCAACCGGATCCATTTCAAAATGAAGTTCAAACAGTGATGGACAATATAAAGAAAAGATGTCGAGAGGAAATTCATCCAATACCAAGCATTTATCAGGAGGAAGTTGCCAAACTTAGGGACGTCAACTGGACCGATGACACTAAGCGCGTTGTGAAGAAGATACCTACGTTCGTATCATGCAAGGGACAGCTATACAATGCAAGGACACAGCTATTACCGAAACTTCCCAAGACTCGTCAGGAAATTCTACTAGAAGGAAAATGGAGGGAAACATCGGCTGGTGAACAGTTTCTTTTATTTAATGAAGGAGAAGAACAACGGATGATAGCGTTTGCCACCACTGAGAACCTCAGGATGTTATCAAATGCCGATACTGTGTTTTGTGATGGAACATTTTACATGTGCCCTGGACTGTTTACCCAGTTATACACATTACATGCTATGGAAGACGGAGCCATGTCCCCGTTGATATTTGCTTTGTTACCAGGAAAGAGCCAACTTATCTACACTAACTTCTTCAGGAAAATTAGCGATACCATGGACGATCTACTGCTTCCGTTTAACCCAGCTACCTTCTTTCTGGACTTCGAGGCCGAAGCCCAAAATGCCGTAAGGACCTTCTATCCAGAAACTACAGTGAAAGGGTGTTTTTTTCATTATACTCAGTGCATTTGGAGGAAGGCCCAACAACACGGATTACAGGTATCCTATGGTGAAAATGAAGAGGTTCATCGACTTGTGTGCCGAGCAGCTGTGCTTCCAATGATTCCCCCTGAACGTCTTGAGGATGTGTGGTTCAATGCCTTAGACCTAGAGGATGCAGTTCTGCCAGTAAATACTACACCATTCTGTGATTATGTGACCACCCAGTGGGTAGGAGGAGGAGATATCAACACATGGAACCACTACACAACCGAGGGACCTCGCACCACCAACCATCTCGAAGGGTGGCATAGCAAGCTAAAGAAACAGATTAAGCATGCTCAACATCTATACCCTGATATCAGCACTGCAAGGAATTCAAGCAGCAAATGAAATTCGTCACATACAACTTGCAGCTGGAGGAGTCACCAAACCAAAGGCGAAACGCTAGAGATGTGGAAGCCCAGCTGCAGTTGCTAAAAACAAGATTCAGAGACGGGGAAATCGATGTTATCCACTATGGTGACGCAGCTTCATACCTGCTACATTTGGAATAGTACATTAGGAATACATTGTGTGAAAAAAACTTTTGAAAAATTGTGCATTGTTTAGTAAATATTGGTTTATTCTTAATTATTAGTAAATAATATTAATATTTATTTATTATCAGGAATTATGTCATAATAACCATGTTGAATATGATATTAAAAATTAAAGATCTTAATATTTATACATAAAATTTACCTGAAATATTACAAGAAAATATTCCAGGTAAGAAACATTTCAGGAATAGGCTATACCTAATTTTCTATTGTTCTCTAATGACCCTGCAATATAAACAATTACAGGTATGCCCACTCACCTTTTCCCATTATTTTTTAAAGATGGGCATAACAGTAATAAACCCCGGAGTATGTAGTGTCGCGTGTCCAGCTGGTCACTTGAAGCTGTGACCCAAAATAAAGAACACGTGAAACTTACCAGGCTGCCTCCATTATATTTTACAGGTGAGCAATTTTCTATTTTACATGTATTTTTTCTTATATATTATTTGTCTTTTTTTTCAATTGCAAAATGAGCATAGTCATTGTGTGAGATTTTCATGTATTGGTTGATATTTGATTTTGTATATTTTTTTATTACATCTTATTTGCTTGTTATTGGTTTACGCGAAACAAAGAATTCAAAGTTTCCCTCGTAAAATCTTTTCGATCTTCAGATTTAAAAATCCATGTACAGTAAAGTTCTGTTTGATAGCTAGAAAGACATTCAGAAATAACGTTTTATATTGGAAACATTGTATATTTCTTTGGGAAATTTCCTCTTTTTGAGAAACAAAGTGTTAGAAAGGATCACGGAAGTTCATTCCAAAGCCGGAAGTTCATTCTAAAACCGGAAGTTAATTCCAAAACCGGAAGTTAGTCTTGTAAACAGGAAGTTAGTGTTCCTAATGTAAATAAACACTCTCGTCATGTGCCTTTCTTAATATTTACAATGAATGAACTCAAATAGTTTTGAATATTTTATTTCTTAAAGAAGTAATAATTCATTTCATATAAATAACTACATTTTTTCATAAAGTATCATTATGTTGTAAATAGCTACTTTCTGCTTTTTACTTATTTTTTCTTTACCATTTTGGACAAATTAATGATTATGATTATTTTTCTTTCACATTGTTTTGCATGTATTATTTCACTACAATATGTATTGAGCTACTACGCGAGTTATTCCTTTGTCATTTACCTCCACAGTCAAGTCAGAGTATAGCTCTAACTTAGCTAATTTTCCCCATTTTGCTCATACTTTATTTTTACATTTGGATCTTATTGTAATTGATTCCAATTAGTGATTTAATTCACTACTGATATTGCATATCAGTAACATACACTATGTACATACACAAGGTCTTTCATGTAATGTAATTAGATCCATAATGTGGTTTAATTCGTGATTTTTATGTAATCAATAACAAAAATTTCTGTGTATTCATTATCTCTATGTATTGACATGCAACACTTGAAGCTGTGACCCCAAATAAAGAACACGTGAAACTTGCCAGGCTGCCTCCATTATATTTTACAGGGTTAAAAAAAACTACAACCATACAACACGACAAATACCCGATGACAGTTTCCTTCACGGAGCAGACGGTGGATACGTCCGACAGGGAACTGAATCCCTGCACGGGATGATCGGCTCTTTGCCTTTCCCTTTACTTTTCCTCAGAAGACCTGGTCTCTAGCTATTTGAGTGACAGAATTCAGCAGGTTAGGCTGGGTTCCAAATGCGGTGACTGGATGAAAGTGCTGAAAGGTGTCCCTCAAGGCTCAATCATGGGCCCTTTACTTTTCAATGTTTTCATTAATGATATGTTTTTATATGTCAAGTCACCCAACTTATATAATTACGCTGATGATAATACCAACTCTAGCAAAGATCCCCTCACTTTAAAACAAGCTGTTGAAACAGACTGTTCAACTTGGTTTAATGGTTTCATAAGAACCGAATGAGGGCAAATCCTGAAAAATTTCAGGCTCTGTGAAGGTAAAAAATCAATGGAGGCATTTGCAAATTTCAAAATAGATAATGTAACCATTTTACCAGAGAAAACAGTAAAATTGCTTGGCGTTTATTTTGATTCACTTAAAATTTTGACTTTCATGTCTCGGAGCTATTTATAAAGGCCTCCAGACAATTGAATGTTCTGAAAAGAATTGGAACTTACTTAAACAGGTCAGAAAAGTTATATACAATTCTTTTATACTTTCAAATTTCCAATTTTGCCCATTAGTCTGGCATTTAACAAGTATGAAAAGGGAGCGAAAGATGGAAAAGATCCATGAGCGTGCTCTAAGATTTGTTGAAAGTGATTATGAGTCGTCTTTTATTCAGCTTTTAACAAACAGTAAAACTACTCTTTTACACATCAAGAGACTTGGGCTGTGAAGTTTACAAAATTTTATACAAATTGTCCCCTGAATACATTCAAGATCTGGTGAAAATTAAAGAGTATTTAAAATTTCAGGAAGGACTACACAGTCACTGCCAAATGTAAAGTGTGGAACAGCCTTCCGAATTAATTACGGAAGTGTGAATACCACCCAGAATTCAGGAGGCTGATCCACACCTGGGATGGCCCAATATGTTCCTGTTCTATCTGTGCCAAAATGAAACCTTGATCTGCTTTCTGTGTATGTCATTTGGTATATGTTGCCAATATTTATTTCTTACTGTTTGTTTCTCTTGATTTTTAATGGAGTAGGGACCAGGTTTGTTGGGACTATACTGGCTCAACTTACCAGACCTCTGGGCCATTTTAATTTATAACCATTAGTGCTCTCATAACTTAAATAAGCTGTGTTTTTATGTGCATTTTAATCAATGGAAATCCCGTAATTAACATCTCGTGTTATTACTCTGTGCATGTTTTATGTCCATACACGTATGTTTCACATTTTGTTTTTATGTTGATATGTTTTGTCGTAATAGCTCCTCTGAGCTAATGTTGAATTTGTTTATTATATACGACACAAAATAAAGCTTATTGCATTGTATTGTTAGGTGTGTATTCAAGATCAGTAGAACGTGTTTGAGCATAATGAAACAAGCAAGGGGGTAATGGGATAAGACATGAGCAATAATAAAACAGCGTGTCAGAAACACGTCTGCACTGAACAACGAACGAGCTCAGTCTGTCCGAACAAAGGCGGACGATTTACAAAGAAAACACATGGCCACTTGACTTGCACACTCTTATACCCATTACAAACTATTAAAATAAAGAATACAAGACAACTCGACAACATTATCTCATGACCACTTGACTTACACACTCTTACGCCCCTTACAAACTATTACAATAAAGAATACAAGACAACTCGACAACCATTATTTCATAGCCACTTGACTTACACAATCTTACGCCCCATACAAACTATTAAGATAAAGGATACAAGACAACTCGACAACATTATATCATGGCCACTTGACTTACACACTCTTACGCCCCTTACAAACTATTACAATAAAGAATATAAGACAACTCGACAACATTATATGACAGTTCGTCCCACGCACGCTAACAAGGACAAGGCAACAGGTACCCGGACCGATTGGCCAAGTGTGACGGCTAAATATAGTTCGACTCACCTTTACAGCGGTACGCGCACAAATCCCAATATAAATGGTAACACAGGCCAGGGACCTATATGATATATACGTCCCTGTACAGGCACTCGATAAGATAATTCACGACGTATCCATACAGATAAACACTTGCTAAAAACATTCCTAAGATAGACTACGTGACATTATGCAGGTACGGTGTGATGTTCACGTCCCGAGGTTTGGGTGCGAGTATACTCCAACAATGTTAGCGGTTTACACGGCGCCGAGTAACCTCTAACTTCCCATAGGCAAAATAACCGATGCGGACCATCGCATTTTCAAAGCTCTGATTTTGGTAATATTTAACGCAATTACTTACAAGTAAACATCTTGATATATCATTAACATATCTTTCTTTCAAAATCCCATATTTAAATCCACTGTTATAAGCTATAAATGTGTTGTTAATGATTACATGCCTCCTTCAGCGTAGTCACTACACTTTTCAGAATCGAAAGTCCAAATATCACGTAACTAGCCGGTTAATAGAAAAAAGGAATACAGATAGTAAAAAACAGACGGAACGCTATTTGGTAATAACTTCGACAAATGATTTTTAAAAAATACGCCTACACATAAAAAAGACACTTTATAGTTTTGTGGTGATTATAAAAAAACATAAAAAGCAATAATTGCAATAATGATTAGACCTGTAATAGTTGAAATGAGCATCACTCATTTAGGATGACGTCAGTCCGTTGATCCAATGCATTAGCGAGTTTGGTCATTTTGTGTGGATATTTTAATACCATTTTCAGGTCCTCTTTGTAAACAAATCCAGGAAAAGCTTTGAACTGTCGTCCGGAAATAGTCTTGAATAATTCCTCATCGAGCAAGCAGCTCACGAGCTTCTGGACATTAGAGTCTCTATTTCTAGCTCGTCTCCTATGGCGATACAACTCATTTTCTATCATTTTTTCATCAAAGATGGAATCAAGGCATTCTTGCAGGGGTCCAATTATTTGACCACACCTTTGGATAGTTTCATCCGTGTACCTTCCTTTCGCATTCTCCAGTTGGTCCTTGAAGAGTCTGTTAAGCAACTCGTTCATCAGGTCCATCGGAAGATTTCGTCCAACGCCACCACTGTAATTGACAGTTCTGCGGTAGCACACCACCAAACACTGAGTCCAACTACAATATGCAGTGCAACGAAACAGTACCACCAAACACAAAACCCTTTCTTAAGAAACAAGTCAATTTAATAACTACAAATGGTTTAG